ATATTATTAATATAAATTATACATACAAACTATAAATTAATATAAAATTTAAAGTAAATATCAATTAACTATTATAATATATATATTTTATGAATATTTGTGCCCGTGCATGAGCACAGGAAAATCACCTAGTTATAGTAACATCCAGAAAACGAATGTGAAGTCTTGGACTCCGACAACGGATGATATGTCGGGGAAAGAAGGGTCAGGAGAAGAACCGGTACTGGTGATATTACCATCGTGATTCTCGTCCAGGAGAAGTTCTTCGATCTCCCAACTTTGGCGTATCGAGACCGAGTTCAACAAAAGCTAAGGACAGAATTTGAGGCGTTGCATGTGCAGTGATTTCGACCTTGAATGAATTAGTTTCCATCTTCGTAAGTAGCTTAAACTTGGCAAGAGAAAATTAGAGATGAGTCGTAACAGAGAAAGAGACTGAGAGTTTTGTGAAACAAGAAAAGTTGAGATGAAATCTTAAGTGTGTTGGTGAATGGTGAAGTTTGTATTTATAAGTAAAAGACCTAGAGATTAAACGCGTAATGGTATTTCATTTTCGTGTAACAAATTCCTAATGGTAAAAAATAATCTATAAGGTCATTTAATGTTCTATTTCCTTTTTTCCGTGTTGGTCAAGTATCTTAGATTCACTGATTCTGTTTTCTTTTTTTGATTGTACCGGCTAGGATGGAGATCACTATACTGGAGTTTTAACCAAATTTACGGTAGCTATTGTTTACATTTAAAAAGATGATTGAGAAAACGTTAGGAGGAAACTGTCAAGAGTCAACGCCCATCACAATTTTTTCAATAATCTGGCACACGTGTTCAAAAACCATGGAACCACTTTTAACGTAACTGCGTTATCAAGCTAGAAAAGGAAGAGTTTGCTATCCAAATATTTTATCAAAAATAAATGAAAATATATTTTTTTCAAATTGTGTATCTTCTGTGTTAATTTTTTTGTTTCAGTAAAACCCACAACAACTAATAGTATATTATCTGAATATTCTTATATTTAGATTTAAATTAATCTCTTAAAAATGAAACTCCACAATTTTAAAAGATCTTGTTAACAATATCCTTCATTTTATCCCTAATATTAAAATCATTAATAATTGAAACTAAACTTTATAAACACTAACAAGTCTCGTCAACCCCATTCACCAAAGCTTAGAAACAAAAAAAGAGGTAAAATTAGATTACATCGATATATAAAGAGTTTTAAGAATACAAAGAAACGTAAAATAAAATGTTTGAACTGTGAGATTCTGAAGATGATGATGTTGAAGTTCAAAGAACGAGTTAAGTTCCTACATGAGATGTATATATCGCAGGTATTCGAAACAACAATACAAAACAAATATGGAGATGGTGAAGATAGATTTTTTAATATTATTTTTAGTTTGAATTTAAGTTTCTAATAATCTTTTACTTTCTAATAATTTAATGATATTTAAGAGTTTTTTTATTTTAAATTATAAATAAATGAGCTTATATATTTTATTTTGATAAAAATGTAATATAAATTTTATTTCTCAGCTATTGTTCACAGTTCACAGTTCTCCACTCCTGCTACAGTGGCCACTCTCTTCTCCGCTTTGTCAATCACAAACTAAGATGGTTATAGTGTTATTCTCTTTTAAAGAAATACTAGATTCTGACCCGCCTTTAAAAGGGCGGGTATATTTTTATCGAAAATATTATTTTATGTAATAAAAATTATGATTTTAATAAATTTTATATTCTAATTCTTTTATGAAATTTATCTTAAATTATCTATATGACTTATTTTATTATTTTAAATATGACTAAATTTTTGTTAAACTTATTTCAAACTGATTTTATTTTTAATATTTTAATTTAAATAAAATAGTTTATATTTTAACCCGCTATGTATTGATAAAACTAATTTTGTGTGTATTAAAAATTTTCTATAATTATATTAAATTTAGTTTATATGATTTAAATTTTTTATTTTAAATGGAACTATTTTTTAAGGATTTGAGATAATTAAGACCTACATTATGATTTCGTTGATTTAATCATTTGTTATTGTTAGATAAAGATGTCATATGTCAGTTTCTTGTCTCATCAAACATGAAGAACGAGATTAGTCGTTAAAAATACATATGTGCTATATATATTTGTCATTAAATTTTATCAATACGCGGGTTAAATATAAACTGTTTAGTATTATTAGTGTGGATGAGAGAAGTGGATCCCTAAAATCCCCTATATATTAATTGAGAAACATTTGAAAAGATGTAACCTCAAGTTTGTATTAATTAAAAAGTAACCTTGCTTAGTTGTCAATCAATTAGCATACCAATTAAACTGACGTGGCAGTTTTAGGTTCAATTGAAATTTGCTAGGGAAAAATAATTAGAGACGCATATAACGCATGTAACATAGTTTATATATTTATA